TCAAGCTCTTGGGCTTAAGTGATTCTCTTGCCTCAGCCTCCTGAGTAGCTGAGACTACAGGCACCTGCCACAATGCTTGGCTGTTTTTTGGTTGCAGTTGTCATTGTTGTTTAGCAGGCCCAGTTTTGGTGTATGTAGCCAGCGCCCTACTCACTGAGCTACAGGCACCAAGCCAATCTAGGTTATTTTTTGAAACATCGTTTCAAGCTGTCGCCCTGGGTAGAGGGCTGTGGCTTCATAGCTCACAGCAACCTCCAACGCGGGCTCAAGTGATCCTCTTGCTTCAGTTTTTCTGTTATTAGTAGAGATGGGGGTCTCGCTTTTGCTCAGGCTGGTCTTGAACTTGTAAATTCAAGCTATCTACCCACTTTTGCCTCCCAGAGTGCTAGGATTACAGGCATGAGCCACCACACCTGACCTTTAATCAAAGTTTGATGTGACATGGAAGACTTCAGACATGAATATCCACAGACTCAGACACATGAAGAACGGATAGCCGTGTGGAAGTGTGACTGGACCAAAAGGGACTATCTGATGCTGACAGACTGAGTGGGGAAACCCAGTGATAAAAGAAAAAATTTGGGGCAAATTAATAGAGCTTATTTTATTTTATATTTTATTTTTTAAGACAATGTCTGTTACCCTTGGTAGAGTACCATGGTGTCACAGCCCACAGCAATCTCAAACTCCAGGGTTCAAGTGATCCTCTTGCCTCAGCCTCCAGAGTAGTTGGGACGACAGACACTGGCCACGATACCTGGCTATTTTTTTCTGTGCAGTTTTTGGCCCGGGCTGGATTTGAACCCGCACCTCCGGCATATGGGGTTGGCGCCCTACTCCTTTGAGCCACGGGTGCTGCACCATGCCTGGCTATTTTTAAAGATGGGGTTGCGCTCTTGCTCAGGCTGGTCTTGAACTCATGAGCTCAGGCACTCCATGCGCCTCGGAAATTAACAGTTTAAATTGAGCAAAGAATGTGAAATCAGCCAGCCCCCAAACCACAGTGGTTTCTGGGAGACTCTGCCTCTACATGGTTGAAGAAGAATTACAGACAGAAAAAGGAAAGCAAGGTATAGAAAATGGACAGGAGGTACAGACAGCTGGATGGGTGACAGCTCAGCTCACAGTTTGAACAGTTAGTTGCCTTTGACTGACACTCAGTGATTGGCACAAGAACGGGTTATAGCTATTTACACATTCAGTTAGGTTACATTTCCCCATGTAAGAAGAAACTTTTAAGGCTGAACTTCAAATATGTAAGGAAGCAGCTTTAGGCTAAACTTAACACCAGTAAGGCCTGCCTGTCCAGATTCTTCTTGACCTCTCGAGTACCATTCCCTCCTTCTGGGCTTAAGGGCACAGCCCATTCTGGAATGAGGGTCTTCTGACCTACTCTCAAGCAGAACAGAAAGTGACTTTGTGGTCAGCTCCTACCCAGAAAGGTAGAGGCTACTGTACTTTTTCTTGTTTCTAGGACCCAACTATGGCTGCCTTAGGGCAGAGTAGAGGCACAAAAGCAGGAGAAAGAGACTCTGCTTCTAAGGCCCTTCTGATGCCCTTCAGCTCTCAGTACTCAGCACACCCAAGCACCACACTTCATGGTATCATTTCTGAGCCCCAACACATCTCAGAGAGCATCTCATTAGGGCCCAGAGTTGCTCTCTCATGTGACTCAGTGTCATTGGCTCACTGAGCCGTTTCCTTAGCTCTATGAGTTGAGATAGATCAAACTTACTGGTCTCAGGATCCCTTCATACTCTTATAAAGTACTGAGGACCCAGAAAGCATTTGTTTATGTTTAGTTATATGAGTATTTATGGTTTTTTTTTGAGACAGAGTATCACTATGTTGCCCTCGGTAGAGTGCTCACAGCAACCTCAGACTTGGGCTTAAGTGATTCTCTTGCCTCAGCCTCACAAGTAGCTGGGACTACAGGCACCTGCCACAACACACCCACCTATTTTTTTGTTGCAGTTGTCATTGTTGTTTAGCTGGTCCGGGCCAGGCTCAAACCCACCAGCCTCGAGTATGTGGCTGGCGCCATAATCACTGTGCTATAGGCACCAAGCCAGTATTTATGGTTTTAAAAACTAAAACTGAGAAATTTCTGAGTAATGATTTCCAAAACAAAAACTCAGATGAATAGTACTGCTTGACACTTCTGCAAATCTCTTTAAGGTCTGGCTTAAGACAGCTGGATTCTCCTATCTGTCCATCCTACACTCGCGTAGCCTCTACAAAACTGGAAAGTGTGCAATACCATGACCTTCGAGCTTGGATCAAAAGACTCAAGGTCCTGGCCAGATGCAGTGGCTCAAGCCTCTAGTCCAGCTATTTGGGAGCAACATAGGAAGACCCCTGTCTCTACAAAGAAAAGAGAAAAATTAGCTGGGCCTGGTGGCAGGTGCCTGTAGTCCCAGTTACTTGGGAGGCTGAGGCAGGAGGATCCCTGGAGCCCAAGAGTTTGAGGTTGCTGTGAATTACAATGATGTCACGGCACTCTATCAGGGGCAACGGGGCAAGACCCTGTCTCAAAAAAAGCAAAAAGACTCAAGTCCTGGCACCATCACATTCCAGCAAATAAATTTACCGCCAGCTCTCTCTGCGCCTCAGTTCCTTTGCCTGCAAAAGGAGGCACATATTTCCCACACAGGGGCGTTATGAGGATCAGCATTTCCTGGCCGCCATCCCATGCGTAAACAAGGCAGGAGGAACAAACCTGGTCCCAGGCCGGAGTTTAGGGACACGATGTATACTCCGCAGAATGCCTAGCCATGATGTGAGGCAGTAGGGCTAGATGCTCTTGCAAAGGACCTCCAAGTGCCTAGTACACTGTAAAGTGCGGTCCAACGGGAGTTATCCTCGTCATGGCAGCGCCAAGCCAAAGGCTTGCAGGACCGAGGCGCATCCGAGGCCAGGGCGCAGTTCCCTCGAGCTCTTCTGGCCTGGTGCCACGGGCCGAGCGACAAACCTTCCTTCCTCGTTCCCGGAGCGGAGCCCTGACCCGTTTAGGGGCACTGTCATCGATGTGTTCGGCACTCTACTGATCCTGCCCCAGAAGTAGGTGGGCCCGTTTTCCCTCAGGTGGTCTAACAGGCGCCAGAGAGGGCCTATGGCGTGGCTGCAGAGCTCAACCTCTTCATTCCGATTGGCTGGCTCCAGCAAGCCGGACAGAGCGCGGCCGCAGCCTTTGGAGGCGAGCTGCAGCAGGTCTTTACCTCACTCGCCCGCGAACTGTGAGCTGCCCGCACTCCGCCTCTCGGCTTCTGCACTGCCCGCTGCTGCCGCCATGGCCCAGTGAGTGACTCGCCCACGGGCAGCCCTGCGAGGAACTTCCCTGGGGCCGGGATCTGCCTAGTCTCCGACGCCTCCTGAGCCCGGGCTCGTGGGACCTCAGACCCGAGAACCCCAGGGTCCAAGCCAGAATGCAACCTCCGCTGCCCCGCCGGCCCAGCTCCATCCTCTCGGCGGCGCAGATCTAGGGCGGGTCCTCTTCCAGGGAGGGTCGCAAACGGGGGTCGTCGAGGGAGGCCCCGGCCGCTGGGACGACCCTGTGTGAGGGTCAGACCCAGCCGAACCTGCGGGGACAAGAACCTGCAATAGACATGACTGCCGGGGACAGCGGGGAGCGCTAGTGGGCGAGCTCCCATCGCGCGAGCAGGAGAGAAGGGAGACAAATCATCAGTCACACCCCGAAGCTACAAAGTTCTTGAGGGGGGGGGTCTAAGTTGCAGTGCATCAAGTGGTACTGACACATTTTTCTTTGTTCTGTTTCCGGCCTTTCAGAGCTGACATTGCACTGATTGGACTGGCTGTCATGGGCCAGAACTTAATATTGAACATGAACGACCACGGCTTTGTGGTAAGTGGTGGGGACACATCCTCTTCTCTGTGGTTCTTGACGTGCTTTCACCCTAATGCCCGGGATTGGGCTGTGATTTCAGAGATTCCTGATTATCTGGAACATCCTTCTCTTTGAAAGAGAGCTCATGACACACACATATATATATTTTGCACAAAAAGAAGCCCACTTTAGGTGTGGGTGTGGGAGGGCAGATCCTGCAGTTTCTCTGAGGATGTGGAGTCCTGCTGGAGGTGCCCTGTGCGGTGAAAAAAGAGATCAGTATCTCAAGTAGAGGGGAGTGGTGGGGGAGCAGAAGTCCTGCTGGGTGTGTACAGCTCTAACTTGATTGCCTAATGCCATCTGGGGAAGAGTGAAAATGTTTCTTTTACAGAGTAACATTGCTTAAATGCCAGGACTGTCAGTGAGAAAAGATGGAGCTCAGTGTCCAGCTGGCTGGTCCCTAGATTTGATTCTGAGTCCTAACCAGTTAGTGACAGGCTCTATCTGATATGCCAGGGGCAGTTGCCCTTTGCCTCAGTTCCCTGCCTTTTCATCCTCCTGTGGTAGCTTAACTTCACAATGATCAATCAGCACTTGGGCAAGGAAAAGGCAGGTCTGACCTCCCCAGGACTTTGGGTTGAATAGAAATTTTATTGCTCCTTGGTCCACAGAATGAAAGTCTTGTGCATCCTACTTAGTTCTCCTTACCAGGACTTTTGTCCTTCTAGGTCTGTGCCTTTAACAGGACAGTCTCCAAAGTTGATGATTTCTTGGCCAATGAGGCAAAGGGAACCAAAGTGGTTGGTGCTCAGTCCTTGAAGGAGATGGTCTCCAAGCTGAAGAAGCCCCGGAGGATTATCCTTCTTGTGAAGGCTGGTCAAGCTGTTGATGATTTCATTGAAAAACTGGTGAGGCCAGCTCTACCCTGCTATTAGTATAACAGAGCTTATTTCTAATTTTTTTTTTTCTTTAGCTGTTTTACTTCAGGGATTTTTTTCTTGTTAATTTCTTTTTCTTTTTTTTTCTTTTTTTTTATTTTGCAGTTTTGGGCCAGGGCTGGGTTTAAACCCACCACCTCCGGCGTATGGGGCTGGTGCCCTATCCTTTTGAGCCACAGGCGCTGTCCCTCTTGTTAATTTCTTGATGTGAACGGCTCAGTTTTGAAAAGTGATTGCTTAAATGTTTCAGTGTTTCTTAACTTGATTGGCACTAATTGACAGTATATCCTTGGGTGGTGATAATTCTGAGGATACAAAGAAACATTTGTTGGCTCAGTGCTGGTAGCTCAAGCAGCATAAGGCGCCAGCCACATACACCAGAGCTGGTGGGTTCAAATCCAGCCTGGGCCTGCCAAAACAAAAAAAAAGAGAGAGAGAGAGTTTGTTAACAAGAAGAACCAGAATAGGCAGGGCTTGGTGGCCTATGCCTTTAATCCCAACCCATTGGGAAGCTGGGACTAGAAGATGGTGTGAACCCAGGAATTCAAGGTTATAGCAAACTATAATTGGGCCATAGCATTCCATCCTGAGTGAACAGACCCTGTCTCAGAAAAAAGAAAAAAGTCAAAACAATAGTAATACTAGTAGGCTCCGTATCTTTAATATTTAATAAGATCACTAATATTTATGAGTGTTTAATATTATTCACTAATAAATCTTAGGGTCCAGATTTAGAAATAGATTTCATTTTTTTCAGTATTCCTATAAACTATTCTCAAATAGTTGTATAACTTAATATTATAAATGATAAGAGATCTCCTTTAGGACTCCTAGGAACTGGGTTCTTACTTTTGTACCAAACAGTTATTTGGTTTGAACAAGTATTTTTTGAAAGAAATAATGTGGGCTCCTGCTTATAATAATCCCAGCACTTTGGAAGGCTGAGGTGGGAGGATTATTGAGGTCAAGAGTTTGAGACCAGCCTGGGCAACATAGCAAGATCCCATGTCACAGAGATTCAGCCATGTGTGAAAGCATATGCCTGTGGTCCAGCTGCTGGGGAGGCTAAGGTGGAAGGATTGCTTCTTGAGCCCAGGAGTTCTCTAGCCTTGGTGACAGAGCAAGACCCTGTCTCTTAAAAGTTTTTTTTTTTTGGTTCTGTGCCTGTGGCTCAAGCGGCTAAGGCACCAGCCACATACACCTAAGGTGGCAGGTTCAAATCCAGCCCGGGCCCGCCAAACAACAATGACAGCTGCAACCAAAAAATGGCCGGGTGTTATAGCAGGCGCCTGTGGTCCCAGCTACTTGGGAGGCAGAGGCAGGAGGATCCCTGGAGCCCAGGAGTTGGAGGTTGCTGTGAGCTGTGATGCCATGGCACTCTACCCAGGGGGACAGCTTGAGACTCTGTCTCAACAACCAGTAAAGAAATTTTAAAAGTTGTTTTTTTTAAATCAGCATATGAATGAAAGGAAACCAGTGGGAATAATTTATTTAGATACTCAAAAATAATTCTACAATAACAGCTCTGAAAAAATCAAAGCATTACCCTTTTGGAAGAAATATCTTGTTGTAGGAAATTCAGCAACAGTCAACAAAGGAGAGGTTTGAATATTCCTTTTCTAGAGGATAGGTGTTAACAGTGGGGTTGTTTCTACAGAGAGAAGAATTTGTAACCAGTATGCTACTGTTTTTTAAATAAATAACCTAAAAAAGGAGGACATTATGATAAAAAGAAGACATAATAACCATTTGTGCAGCGAGATGCCAAACCACTCATGATCAGTTTCAGACAGAGTAGACTAAAAATGATGGATTATTTTTTAGTATAGGAAAATATTAAGTGATGTTAACTGGTGCCTTGTAGGGAAAAGATAGAGAAATAAATAATAAAGCCCCGCCTGACTGGTGTGCTGTAGGAAGATAATTCTTGTTCAAGGCTCAGTCTTATCCTCATATCCCCCATCATGGTGATCAAATCATTCCTATACTAAACCATTTGATATGTATTTACTAGACTCCCTACTCTGTTCTAGACACAGATTTTTTTAGCAGGTTTCTTTTTTTGTTTGTTTTTGAGACAGAGTGTCACTACGTCACCCTTGGTAGAATGCTGTGGTGTCACAGTTCACTGCAACCTCAAACTCTTGGGCTTAAGTGATTCTCTAGCCTCAGCCTCCCTAGTAGCTGGGATGACAGAGGCTTACCATAATGCCTGGCTATTTTTGGTTGCAGTTGTCATTGTTTAGCAGGTCCGGGCTGGGCTGGAACCTGCCAGCCTCAGTGTATGTGGCCAGCGCCCTACTCACTGAGCCATAGGCACTGAGCCTATAGCAGGTGTTTTAATCTTTTGGAGCTCGTCATTGTCCATATGTTTAGGAATATAAATCAGGCTGGTGGGCTGGGTATGGTGGCTCATGCCTGTACTTTGGGAGCTCAAGGTGGGCAGATTGCTTAAGTTCATGAGTTCGAGAACAACCTGAGCAAGAGTGAGACCCCATCTCTACTAAAAATGAAAAACTGAGATAAGAGGATCACTTGAGCCCAAGAGTTCAAGGTTGTGAGCTTTTAAGCCACGGTTCTCTACCCAGAGTGACATAGTGAAACTCTGTTTCAAAAAAAAAAATAAATACTTTCAGGAAGATGGTACACATTAAAAATATACATTTTCCAACTAGGTTTTGTTTGTTGTGAAATCTTAGAGTTGTTAAAGAGAACTTTCAGTGGTGGCACTGGTGGCCTAAGGAGTAGGGCATCAGCCCCATATACTGGGGGGTGGCAGGTTCAAACTTGGTCCTGGCCAAAAACTGCAAAAAAATAAAGAGAACTCTCAGTTGTGGAGGGTTCTGACTGTTTTTGGTAGCTTTTAAATAAGGTCTAGCTCTAGGCATAGAAATATTATTGAAAGTTAAATAATAAGTGCTTTCAAACTATTTGTTTGGGGTAAATTCTTTTTTGGGGGGGTAAATTCTTAATTTGCTTTAATTGGCCAAGGTACTGTTTATTTTTGTCTTTGGTTCACCTTAATACTAGTGTCTGGTTACAGGTACCATTGTTGGACACCGGTGACATCATCATTGATGGAGGAAATTCTGAATATAGGGATACCACAGTAAGTGTTCTTGTCCAAATTCCTCCAGGTTCTGAGAACATTCTAGAGAAAAATATCAGCATTGTGCATGTGATAGTAGAGTGAACCGTCCTTCGGGGATGCTGGTTCATTGAGGTTGGTATTGATGTGCCAGTTCTCAGCCTTTTTCTCTGTTGAGACAGACTTGAAGGATGAAGTTCTCAGTCAGGCATGGAACTCAGGGCCGTGGCTGCTGCTTACATGCAGCAGGCTGAGGGTTTATGCTTCACTCCTCCCCTTGCCCTCTCAACTGACCCACCATATGTCAGTGTATAATGTGTTTGAGGCCACTGCCCCAGTGGTCTCCAGTGCCAGGGGACGTACCTGTGTGCTCCCAGTGCAGAACGGGCACTAACTCTTAACTGACTCTCAGTGTCTAAGGTCTTTTCCAATGAAATGGGAATGCATGTTTGCCTTTATTATTTCCCTTTTGGGGACAGTGTAGGTATCTCAGACGTCCATGGATTTTTTTTTTTAACTCCCACAATGAGGAGATTAACTTTCTTGAGTGATCAGTTATTCCTAGATCTTTGGGTCATTTCCTGTCAAACGTGGGCTATCCATACCTATCTTATGCCTCCTCTCATTCCTTGGGAGAAACTTAATTTTTAAAAACACAATGAAATTATTTATCTCTTCTTTAGAGACGTTGTCGAGACCTCAAGGCCAAGGGCATCTTATTTGTGGGGAGTGGAGTTAGTGGTGGAGAAGATGGGGCCCGGTATGGCCCATCACTTATGCCTGGAGGGAACAAGGAAGCTTGGTGAGTACCGTCAGGACCACGTCCATTTCAGCACAAAGGAGCCCAGACTCTGAGAATGGGTGAGCCAGGAACAGTCTACAACCCTCATCTCCCCTGTGGTGCTGAGAGCATTTGAGCTAGGAGATGCTATAGACACTCTGGTGTTTGGAAACAGTGGATGTGCACACTCCTCTTTTGCCTTTTTTTCTTTCTGCTATGCCCTTTAGGATTGATACTGGAAGTTCTAAATAGGCTTAAAAATATAGTTCATGTGATGTCCTGTGTACTGTCTGAACTTAGGAGTAAGGGTTGCCTCTTTTAGCTGATGTGTGATCCCAAAATAACTTTATTTAATAATTGTGAGTAATGGAAAAATCTGACTGTGCCTGGGAACGAGGTGGAAGACTTTTATTTAACTTGGGAAAAAGCAAACTTTGCACTGTTCACTGTGTTGTAAGAGGAAGAGTTGGCCAAGGCTGAGGAAGTGCTTCAGTGATGTGAAATGAAGAATGTGTAAGACGTATACGGGGGCCAGGTGCGTGGGATGGAGAATCAAAGTGGAAAGACGTGAGCAATGCATTGTACTGTACTCAGACTGAGGGCGACATGGCTGCTGAGACTGCGGGAAATGAGACGGCCAGATAGAAGACAGAGAGGTGGGGCGGGAGAGAAACAGCAAAGGAAGGAGCCTTTTGAGGGAGACGTGGAAAAGTAACACTCTTTTGAGTGAGTTTGATTTCAAAATATTCCAGAATTACATTAGACAATAAAGTACAGAAGTGCTCAAACCTAACCCTGAAAGGTGAAGGGTTTATTTCCAAAGATTATTCTTTAAACTATTGCTCTAATGACTAAGTCTGGGGAGTCTCTTCATTGTGTTGAGATGTAGATCTAGGGAGGCCTTCCTGCTTCTAGTTTAAAAGCCAGGTAAGGTGGCACATGCCTATAGATCCAGGTACTCAGGAGGGTCACTTGAGCCCAGGAGTCTGAGGGCAGCATGGGCAACAGAGCTCTAGAAACAGTTTATTTATTTATTTCTGAGACAGAGTCTCACTATGTCTCTCTGGGTAGAGTGCTGTGGCATCACAATTCACAGCAACCTCAAACTCTTGGGCTTAAGCAATTCTTTTGCCTCAACCTCCCAAGTAGCTGGGACTACAGGCACCTGCTACAACGCCTGGCTATTTTTCTTGTTGTTGTTATTATAGTTCTCATTGTTTAGCAGGCCTGGGCTGGGTTTGAACCTGCCAGCCCCAATGTATGTGGCTGGCGCCCTAATCATTCAGCTATAGGTGCTAAACCTATTTTTTTATTGTTGGGACAGAGTCTCGCTCCATTGCCCTGGGTAGAGTGCCATGGCATCATCATAACTGACAGCAACCTCAAATTCTTGGGCTTAAGCTATCCCATTGCCTCAACCTCCTGAGTAGCTGGGACTACAGGTGACCACCATCCATGCCTGGGTAGTTTTTTCTACTTTGAATAAAGAGAGGGTCTCACTTTTGCTCAGGCTGGTCTAGAACTCCTGAGGTCAAGCAGTCCACCCAACTCAACCTCCCAGAGTGATAGGATTATAGGCATGAGCCTACAAAACAGTTTAAATGCTTATCTTGGGTTCCCTGTCCAGTGGGCTTTAAAAATGCCGACAATACCAGGAAGGTTTGACATGCAGAGGTGCCCCCATTCCTCATCAGGTCACTTGTCTCACGCTGTCCTGGCAGAGGTAGAAATGGCACTTCCACCTGAAAGACACTAAAGTCAGTGGAGGTGCAGCTGTCTTAATTCCCCATCCTAAGCATTAACTTTGCAACCCTGTCAGATTTTGTGTCAGTACAAAACCAGTTTCGTAATGGAGTCTTTATCAGTTTTGTGATGGAGTCAGTAGTGGTAGAACAGTGAGGAAGAAGCCTGGTGAGTTAATACATCTTCATGGTGGAGCTGTGGGAGGAATGAGTAGCTTACATTTTCTATGAATATTTCATATTTCATCTCAAACTTGGGCTCAAGAAATCCTCTTGCCTCAGCCTCATGCGTATCGGGGACTATAGGCACTCACCACAATGCCCAGCTATGTTTAGAGATGGGGTATCACTCTAGCTCAGGCTGGTCTTGAACTCATGAGCTCATGTGAGCCACTGCACCTGCCGGGTCTGTCTTTACTCTTGGACCCGATGTCCAGAATCATGCTACACCTGGTAACACACTTCCAAGACTAGCAAGAGAGGGTCTCCAAGGGAGCTTTTATACTGCTTGCTGTTTGGAATCCCAGCTTCTCCTGATACTGCAATCGAAGCTTCTTTTGGAGACTGACCGAATGATTCTTCTGCCCAACCTCTCTGTGGTCTCCAGTCAGCGTCTGCTTTAAGAGCCCATCAAGATCTTGTGGAAAAGGCCAGTCAGCCAGCATGGGACTGGAGTTTCCCCAGAGAACTTAGCCCATACATTAGTTTTGGGAGGATCCACCTCCTATTTGAAAGAAAGTTAAGGGGTGTTGTCCTTGAGCATTTGATGGCAATCTCAGCCCATCTTCTCATTACTGACCCACACTCTTCCTTCCACAGGCCTCATATCAAGACAATCTTCCAGGGCATTGCTGCGAAAGTAGGCACTGGAGAACCCTGCTGTGACTGGGCAAGTTCTGGGCTACCCTTTAAAGTGACACGAGCATGTCTGAGTGACAAAGTACACAAGCAGAGGCCACCTTGGGCCCCGGGGTTAGCTTTGTGACATTAGCTTCTCAATCTTTAGTCACAAGCATAGCTGATGCCTCAAGTGTGTGCCTTGTACGTGGCTTTGTTCCTTAACTGACAAGCCTTGATCAGCCTTGAGGTTGATATTAAAGCAGCCTTCCTCAACTCACCGAAAAGATGGGTTCCTTAAAGGGAACAGGAAGGATGAGGTGAAGTAAGATTTTATTAAGCTTCATGGCCAAGGAAAGAATGTCAAAATCAAAAGTGGGGTTGCTCACCTAGGGGAAAGGAAGGGGACTGAATGGGTGGTGGTTGTGTCCAAAGTCCTTTCCCGTGATGTGGGATCCAGATTCTGAGCTTGAATGGAGCAAGCTGCAGACGTTCACCCTCCACCTCACCTAATTCATAGATACCTCCACCAATTATACTTGGCATTTCCATTAAAGTAAATTTTATCCCATATTACAGTTCAGCCCTTATCAACCCATAGGGTAGAGGGAAAACACACTAGGTGGCTCGGTGCCAGCCACGTACAC